AGTCTATTTAAGATTACTTTTAATTTTCCATGGTTTAAGGCACTTTGCAATGATTATGAAGGTAGGGTAACATGTTACGGAAGGGCAGCATTTATTAGGCTCCATGACACCTACTTAAGCCTTTAATGACACCTGACACACCCATTAACATTTATAAAAGCTTATTCCAACAAGCGTTAGTTTTTATAAATGTTTATGGCATTTTCCCTCTGAGAGTGTTAAGATAAATGATGCATGTTAGCAATTGATGCAAGTCTTTATAAATCTTTATATAGCTTTACATCAGTTTTCATAAAAGCTTATGATAGTACAGTGTCATTGCATGCATTTGCACAACACTAATGAGTGAGGGAAAGTTTGTATTGCTTGTTAGCCTCATAGCTTGAGCAAACTAGAAACTAACTTTGGAAACTGAACCGATGACCATACCATTGCTTTAACATTACTATACCTACACAAGAGTTGCATTCAGTGGCCAACTTTCGCTAAATGTGTAGGAAAGCAGCCATTTTAACATTTTATTGCCCAACATTAAACACCTGAAGACTCCCACCTGTATGAGACATTAACAAGGCGATTTCTGAGTTTACAAAAACCCACTGGTCCACCAATCAGATGGAAGGATTAGGTTCTAAGCCTATGATGGCACATGGAGCTTGGTGATTGACACACAAATTGGCTCTATTTAAAACCAGACTAGCGCTTGAACGTAATCCTTCTCAATGTTTGGGGCTCAGTTTACTTTCACTTTCCTGTGTGTAAGTGACAGCTGTGAGGACAGAGTGGGATTAGGACACTTACCAGGGTCAGCCCAATAGACCAGAGACAGAGCTTTAATACTGTACCACTCACCTGGTCATTCTGCTTACGCACTTGAAGAATTAGAGCAAAGTTAAAACTGATACAGACAGCCAGAATGTAACACACAACCCTAATCCACTGAACTCTACCTTTAATGACACCTGTACTCACATATTAGTTGCAAGGCATTGCTTCTGCTGCACGGCTGGATAAGCTGAATGGATTCTAATACATTGAGAAGAAAATGTCTGAAATTCCACCACTATGTAGGACTTACTATAAACAAGAACACAGGACATATTTTCTCACAAAAGGAGATGTCAGAAAATACAATACCTCTGTACTGAAAAAGCAGTGCACTGAATTTTCTTGATTCTTTTAGCAAGCAATAACAGTGTTGATGTAAGATATTTTATTTATTTATAAATGTATATATTATTGATGTGGAAATGATGTACATATCTGAATTAAGAAAATTCAATACATCACTTTACGCATTAAGCAAATGCAACTGCAACCCATACCTAATACCCAAACAGTGCACACAGTATTATTAGCATCCAGTATTATAGGGCACCCAGTTGCACAGTTACAAATGCACCATATGGACTGCTTCCACCAGGCGGATAGGATGCGTAAACTTCAGGATCTTAATACTTGCAGATTAGTCATTACATCCTGAAAGGGCTTAACACATGTTCATTCATTAAGCATATGCATCAAAATGCGTTAATCCCTATGGGCTTTTTCAGGAACTAGTATTAATTATTCAGTAGCTACAACAAAATCACTATGTAAGATACGTAAAAAGGTAAACAAATGCAACTTTGACATTGCCACACATACATCTCTACCATATATGTGTTTCTAAGGGCAGCTGTATAAAACGTACTATTACATACTACATTTACAAGTACAGCAGTGCACATCTTTAATGCATGCAGTTTTCAATTTGATAGTACATATAAGCAAATTATCTGAACGCCAACATGTTTACAATATCCATATCCAACCAGTTATGCACTACCTAGTTGGTAGGACTCACTTCATGTCCATGTCCTTTGAATGATGTGTTGCAGAGAACATTCCAGAGTGAAGGTATTCCGTTTTCAGACAGGAGCCTGAAAATTAAACAAAAGTAACCATGTGCATGGATTGTATATAGAGGACCTGTAGAGGGCGGCATTGTACAAATTTTTGTTTGCAAAAATAGTTGGTTTTGATTATATCTTCAATAAAAGTTCTTAACCTTTTAATCTTCTGCACAATTGATGTTAAGTTACTGCTTACAAATTTTATGACTTCTTAATCATACATTCAGTAATTTTTTATTCTATATTTTTATATAAAATAAACTGTATTTGCAATGCTCATAAACTATCATTGTAGGTATACTGTAATAATATTATGTAATATAAAACGATTGTAAATGATGCAACATTTCTTACTGACTTTTCCACATCCAGAGCAGCATGGGGCACATCCTTCTGCATTACCGGCTCCTCTTCCATCTGAGACAAGAGTAAACCACCAATCTTTTGTTCTGGATATGTGAGATGAAGAAAGAAATGTGTCAAAGAAATGTGTTCAGTAAAATTATGCATTGCATGTTAATAATGGTCTCTTATTGACTGCAGTGTTCCTTATTGTGCCATGTAGAGATACTCTTTATCTATCTATATATATATATATATATATATATCTATCTATATATATATATATATATATATATATACATAGATAGATAGATAGATTTAGATATATAGATACACACACTAAACAGTCTGTGTGCATTTGTAGCTGTGACAAATTAACATAAGAACAGAATGCATGTACAGTATGCAATATGAGTGGCATTGAAAACTGTGAAAGTGTCTTTAAAAGGTATACATGTATATGTATATATGTATCATGCACATAGTGTACATATGCAGTATAATATTATGTACAGTCCTATCTTATACCGAGCGATGCTCTGAAATAGTGTTTACAGGTGTACATTTGTGCAACTGTGCAGTTGTACAATGTTTTGTCTGTAATGTTCTAGCAGCCATCTCGGTGGGAGAGGGTGTGGTGAATGGGGGAGTGGGGGGCTCTAAGACTACATCACTATTCTACGATAAAGAGGAAAGCATAATCATAAACCATGCATCATAAACTTGTAATTACAAAACATAAGCAGATAAAATATGAACCCACCTTTCTCAAGAGATGTGCTGGATGTCCCGGGAGCTTCTCCGGATAACTGTGTACGAACTGGAGACAGTGGAGGAGGAAGCGGCTGGTATTTCTCATCGTCCAGGTTTTCGTACAGAGGTGGGACTGTAATATGGTAATCATCAGGCGCGCTGCACATCTCTGCGGTTTGGAGACATTCCACAGCAGTGTCGCCTGACAGCCGCACAAAATAGCAATGATTATAATCGTTAAAATGGTCCATTTTAACAATCTAACTCAAACTTTGCAACTCTTAATAAACGAACACAAACCCAAAGCAGCACTGAGCTCACAGTACAGTGAGGGTGCTGAGCTCACCTGTGTCTGTAAACGCTGCTGCACTGCTGCTCTCCACGTGGCACTCAGAACCCAAACAAACTCCGACATGCGTCACATCGCTGCTATTAAGTCCTATTGGTGCTGTAGTAGTAGGCTACTCTACTCAGTCTACCATATGCATGGTGTACAAGACAAAAATAGCCGAGCCCCTACTGGCTACAGACGTTATGTAACACTGGTTTGAATTGATAATGGGCCATAAACACACTGAACGAGGCTCACAGCAACACTGAAGCTGCATGCCAGGCTCTAAAGGCAGAGCAGCGTTTTTAAAACCAGGCCAAATCCTGAGCAAAGTGTTCAGAAAGCCATGTTTATCCTCTTTGCATGTCCTGTTCTGATTCTGCTTTTCTCTTTTCTTTATAGCTACACTGAAAACGCGATACAGTGAGTTTACATGATTCAAATGTGTCCTTCATCTCCACATGAATGAAATTTACAACATCAACACAATCATGGCCGAAAGACACAACCTCGACGATGAAATGTGGAAATATGTACAACCAAGCAAATTTAATGCATCACTTTTTTCAAATGTAGAAAACCTTATGTGGTTCCACTGAGAACATAATTCAACGTTTACTGTGGTGTGCAACATTAGGCTTAATAAAATTAGCACACTGATAAAAAAAATAAATAAATAAATAAAAAACGAAATATTTGGGTCTTGTTGCGTCCAGTTTATTGCTTTCTATTATCTTTAAAGGCGAACTCCACTGATTTTTCATAAATTCTATGTAATTCAGTGGTTGAGGTGTAAACAGAGTCATTCAGTGTGGTTTGGTGCGAAATGTTTCATTGTAGAGAAACTTGCTGAGTCAGAATTGTTCACAGTGGTGGTGATAGGAACCAGACGTGTGAAAAGTTTAGAGACTCTGAAAGCTCCCTTCACAGAAAGTTATTAAATGAACTGGATATATGCTGCCTGATGTCTGCCACACTACTTTATGATAGTTTTGTGAAAGTTTATTTTTGTTTTTTTTTTTTTTTTTTTCAGATTTATGACTTTTCTGCCATCATCAACATTAAATATAAAGACTCAGAAGACACGTGTAGGTTTATTGGTGGTTTTGGATAGTAAACAAAATATCTGTTTTGTAGACTGTGACCCCTGGTTCCCATCACCACCACTAATATAAAGAAATCTGAGTCAGTACGTTTCTCTACAGTGAACACCTTCGCACCACTCTGAATGACTCTGTCAACGTTTTAATGACTGAATTATTCAGAAATTTAGAAAAATGGATGGAATTTCCCTTTCACCAGACTCGCAGACCAGTAAGTTTGGGTTATTTCAGTTCACCTAAAACCTGTTAGCTTACCTTTCTTAAAGTCACTGCCAGCCCTGCTGTCAGCTAAATTAGCCTCACTACAGCCTTACAGTCTACAAAACCCCAAACCTCGGATGTATTAATAGTGCAATATACATAGTATGCATCTTTTTAGGGACATTTTGTCTTAAGAATATGCGTGAAAACGTTTCTTTAATCCTTTATTGAATCATGTCCGGTATAAAAGCGAGCAGAGCTCTGCTAAATTTGAGTTTAGCGCATCGCTGCTGACAGCTCGGTTATCAAATAGGAAAACTCTCCATGAGAGGAAGTCCTGCTTCTGCCTCCCAATAGAAACACGCCTCAGCAGCAGCACATCCCACTCTCTTCCTGCACTCTTTTAGGAGAGATAAGCCAGATAGAAGAGCCAAAACAAGTCATTCAGAGTGTTGTACTCTTGTTTTTGGATGTTCCGGAAGTAGCAACACTGGATGTCGTTTTATGTTGGAGAGTGCAGGTAAAGTGAGTGTGGATACGGTCTATTTTTGTCCCCCCAGGACGCAGCTCGCTAATGCAGTGCTAAAAATATTCCTCGCAGCCGAGTATTGCGTATGTGGGCTACGCACCTACGCACACAGCGCTACCGTTTATAAACTTGATCTAATTTCTCCCAGATTAACCCACTGTGTTATATTTTATAGCCAGCGCAGAGAAGGAATTACGGTTGTTCCTCGTAGGTTTTGGTTGCACGTTGTCTGCATACGTCAGCTGAATTCAGTCCCACGTGGACGAGCAGACCAGTGTTTAGGTTAAGCTGGATTCACATATAGCCTGTTTTTCTGTCAGTGTGTTTGGTTTATTTGAGTAACTAAGCGGCTACCTTTATGTTTTGGTGCACGTATAAAAAATAGCTCACTCCACGCAGACATTACGGACCATTATAACCTATATATAAGTAGCTAACGTTAGCCAGTTACAGCAAAGGTTACATTTCATCTGATATTTACAGGTAATAACTTTAAACATTAGAATATAATCGTTTAAAACACTGTCGTGTGATGTCATTGGCGGTCACGTAGCCTCTGATAACCTCTCTTTCAACCTTGCTGTCGTTGCTGTGGGAGACCGCCAGCTTCTTTGAAGTGCCTTTACCTCTTGTTCTGATTGGTCGACTGAGAAAAGAAGCCGTTGACGTCACTGGACGCTTTTTCTGAAAATTTCTTTTTTTTACTTATGAGCACTAAAAAAACCCCGCACAAACTTAGTATTTATTTATTTATTTAGAATGACAATAAATTGACCAAATAACAGTAGGATACGTTAAAGCTTAACGTTCACATATCAAACTGAATTTTCTTTGTGGAACATCAACAGAGGAAAAACAAGAAGAAAAAACAAAAAACAAAAAAAATACCATTGAGATTCAGATAAAACTTAAGCTTTAACGCAGCAATGGATTTACAAAATTTCCAGTTTTTCTGCAGGTGCAAATTCACTAATTGAGCTCTGTAATTACACAGATCCATATGTACAGAGTTCATATGTGAGGGTGTTTTCATCATATGTGTGTAAAATGTAGCTATTATTGTAATTGAGTTTATTATGAAGTGGGCATCAGGGTTAAATAAAGGGTCATCAAAAATTAATTAACCAAAGTGGCTTTTAAGGGAGCAGTTGTACCCATCTGGAAGGCCACAGCAATGCAGCTTTAGCCACTATGTAATATCTTATCCGGAGCTGAGTGTACTGAGCGGTACTGTGGCGCTACAGTTATACCCTTCTCCACTCAACACAGACGTACCATTATAACCTATATATGCATGTTTAATGTTAGCTAGTTAAAGGTATGTCCTTGCTGACGTTGCTATGGGAGACTGCCAGCTCCTGTGAAGTGCTTTTACTTCTTGTCTTGAAGTCGTGAATGTCACTCAAAGTTTTTATGAAAACTTTAACTTTTTGTAGTTTTGAGGACCAAAAAACCCCAAACACCTGGCTGCATCACTTTCAAATCAGAATTCTACCAGTGTTTCAAAATGTCTGCATAATTATATGATTGGATTTGTATAGAAAATTTTAATGATTTGTAGAGAAAATTTCCACTCAAATTTCTTTACTTCAACATAAATATAGCCATTTTATTTCCTACCCGAAACAATCAGTTAACCCACATGTGTCTTCTAAATGTTTAGATATAATGGTAAAATAGGATTTGGCTCTATGTTTGGGTCTCAAATGCAAAATCAACATTATACTGATGAAGACGACTATAGCAGATAATTCTTTTACATCCTCGAAAGACACATTATTAGCCAAGTTTTCTTTGAATACTCTCAATTCAATCATCCGATTAATCTGCTTGAGGAAGGGATCCAAAGCACAACTGATGTGACAAAATGTCCTTCCACACATTGTGTGCAATTACACATTTCCACCAGAGAGCCCGCCAAGTCCCCAAAGCTTACATAGTGTAGCTTTACAGAAAATACTATTGTTGTGTGGAGATTAATTCTCATAATGAAATGTCAAAATAAGAAGCATCAATACTTAAGTATAAGACCAGCAGCAACAACAAAGATGACAAACTATCTGTTCAGCTAACTGTCTAGCTGTGCTAGCTTGAGTCTCCTGTTTGGCATGGTTAACTTTTTGAGGCACAGTGGTCACTGTGAGAAACCACTTTTGTTTTTTGTTCATTTTTCAATTGGCATTAATATTTAAATAGGGAACCTCTACATTTTCTGAAAATGTTTGATTTTGAAGTAGCACACAGGAAGTGATGTAAGAACTGTAGTTTTTCTGAAACACTGGGTTTGCATGGTTGTTGGAGGAGCCTGTCCAAAACTGATTACCAGATGATCCAGGTTGGTTTTGTATGTATGATTGTAGCTTTTAATTGTAGATGACATGCTATGGAATGAGAATTTACAAAATAACAACTAAAATAACTGATATATTCATTTGATAAGACTAAAATGTGGTGGTTTTGCCTTGTAACCACTGTGAATATAAGTGAAGTAGATGGTCACATGTCTAAAAATTGGTGATTTCCCAGAGTAACCACAGTGCATTTAGGACAAACACGTAATCACATGGAGAAATGGTGAAAGATATTCTGCCTATATGATATCTTTTGTGTTTATTTGTTTGTTTATTCAAAACTAGAGATATTTCACAGAGCTAATTTGATATATATTGTATATCATAGTGCATCATGGAAAAACAAAAATGAGTGCTGAGGAGGTAGTAAGACTGTTGCTATTCCATCAGGCCATTCCATCAGATTCTTCATGTAGTGAGAGTGAGAGCAGTCAAGGATTATGCGGGAGAGATCCAGGCAGTTATGGAATCCAGGGAAATAAAAACGACAGAGGTAGTGAAAGTGACCAGGGCAAAGACCCAGTTGTAAATGCAAACATTCTGTAAAGCGAGCAGTTTCTGAATGACAAGATGACCTTGAAGGACGTCCATTGCTCAGTGGTAACAGGTTTAGTGAAGGCCAAGACTAATTCTAATAAAGACTGAAGACTGTCAGTCTTCTACAGAAGAGCAAGACAAGCTGTACAAACCATACATATCGAGGGAGAAGCACAAATCTGAAGCTGTTCATCTCCCAGTGTGAAGCACATCAAGACAATGTGCCGATGCAGCACTAAAAAGGGTTTGCATTGCACAAAACAGATGTGCAGAGTGCAACGTTGGGCTGTGCATCAGCCAGACAAGGAACTGATTTTATCCTTATTGCACAAATTGAAACAAAACAAAGAAATCAGAGAGCGAGCTGAGTATTAAATGAAAAATGTAAATGACAAAGTCAGCGCCACTTAGTGCACAGTGGTTACTCAGAGAAACTGCCTCAGAAATGACCTTTGACCCTGAACCTAAAAAATCTCACCCACAATCTATTTTAGTTTAATGGTTTGTAACTTCTTGTTATCAACAAATCTGGTATTTTGAAAGAAATTCTGTATGTCTGCCTGAAAGGGTTTTAAAGAGGATACAGTGAAAAAAATCAGTACTTATAGCTGGTTAATTAGTGGAATGATGGGATGGCAATCAGAACTGAGTCTTTGTAGAAATGGATGTGGCATGTGAATTTCACTGACACGCAACTTTAGCTACTCAAAAACATGCTGCATGTATATCACGCATAGCCTGCTGTAATAACTTCAAATGTTTGGGTGATAAACGTCCGAGTCAGCACATTTTTCATGTAGGATCTACTGCACTTCCAGACATGCTTACTCTGCTCCCAAGGCTTCTGCATCAGACAAAGAATCCTCAGTTCATCAGGAGCTGCTGTTCACAGAGGCCCTTACCTGTTTTAACTCTTTTCACTAAGGTAAAAGCAAGTAATGCTATTAGATTAATGCGTTTGATTGTTGCATTATGTTTCTTCTACAGTATGTGGCACAATAAACAAATTCCAATATTGCACTAATCTTTTTTGCAGGATCCGTGTCCCTTGTGTGATGAAGCAAAAGAAGTGCTTGACCCATATAAACACAGGGTGAGCTTAACTTTAGCATTGTTTTGTGAAGCCAGTGTTTTCTTTGGCTATATTTTTATATGTTTTGTAAATTCTGTTAGATTATTATTTATCTCCAGCACTTTTATACGGTTGTTTGGCCTTGTTAAGTTTGTGTTGCAGGAGGTTGACATCACTATTCCCGAGAACAACGTGTGGCACGACAGATACAAGTACGACATCCCAGTGTTTCATTTGAATGGACAGTTTTTGATGATGCATCGAGTGAACACAAAAATCTTGGAAAAGGGTCTGGCAAAAGCAGAGAGAGAGACCACTCAGTAATGTATAAGTGTGACATAGACCTGTACTATACCTCAGACTTTCCAGTGACACACTGTGATTCACCAGTATTAAATAAAGAGTTTCATATTAACTGCACCATTTTTGCACTTTAATCATTTCTCCAGAGGCAGATAAAGCCTGCAGCCATATTCAAGTGAAAGTACTGTTATAATGAAATGAATGACCCAAGACGATTTAAGCGGAAAAATGTATCGGGTCCAAAAACTCAAGTAATGAATTCCCAGTAGAACTTGAGTAAAACATCTTAGGACATCCATTATCTAGCCATATGGACGTGTGTTAGGTGATATTCTTCTCTTTCAAGGATCTTTTTGGTTAAAAATAAAATGCTACAGCTTGGAAGTGAGATCTACAGCAAAGCAGTCCAGGCACAGGACCAAAAGAACAGACTGTTTACAGTTGTTTACAACCGTTTACAAAACGGTTGCCTTTTCAAAGCTCTTCACACATATTAGCTTATCTACACTCTGGACCAAGTCATGATTTTTTTTTTTCTAGCATGAATACAGAATGTGTTCAGTGAACACATTTTCCAAAATTCTTTCATGCTCTTCTCTCTCAGTCTCAGCCTTTAGCTAAACTGGACTTCTGTAGTTCAGTTTGTAAATGCTTGTATACACTGTTACAAGACTGTTACACTGAAGTCCAAAACCTAACATGAAAATAAACTACAAGTAAATTAGCTGAATCACAAGTACTGTGTTGGACAACATCCAAAGCCCAAATTGATGATGCTTATAGGGACAAACTGCTGATTATAATCCAATCACAGCTCATTCGCATCTGAGCTGATGTTCGACGCAGGTGTTGTTTAAAAGGGGGTCACTTCTGAAGGTATTTTGCTCACAATGCGCAGTCCAGCAAATACATATTCATATGTGTATAAGTATGAAAAGAGTTTTGTAACATTTACAGTATCTGTGAAATTTTCTTTGCTGTATAATGTAACGTACTGGATTCTGGTTTTCTTACATCATACAATAAGCGATTCTATTTTGTAATATTTTTATAGTGTCATTTTTCATTTGCTGTGAAAAATGGTTTGTCATTTCAACCTAAAAATATGATTCAAATCTCAAAGGCACTTCAAATTCAGCTTCTGGCGTGTTTCACATTTTACAGTGTTGTTTACATGATCAGCCAAAGAATAATAAACTAATTACAATATGAGACAAAACTGCAGAGCAAGTAGTTTTAATACAATAGTACAAAATAATATAATAATAATAATAATACAAAAATAACATTGATTTGCATAAAATATTGGATCTGCCTTCATGCCAACAGTTGTTAGAGTTTCTGAGGTGCTTGTGCTGTTATTGACAAGTATTCCTTTTGTAAGTACAGTAGTGTTTTTGTTTTTAATGGAATTATGCTGTTGAGCATTTAAGGTACAGAATGAATGGTTTGGGCTTGAGGTGCATGACTCTGCAGAGAAGAGTCAGAAAAAAAAGTTAACCTGGTACTGAAAGGTGCTTCTCATTGATTAATGCCTTCAAAAGCTACATCACAGAAAGTTATTACACTAAATGGCTATGGATATATTGCCTGATGCCTGAGGCGTTGTTTTATGGTAGTTCTGAGATAATATTTTGGCCTAAGTAATATTTTTTTAAAAAAATAGAGAGTTACATGCACAACATTGTGAGACAAAATGGTACCTGAAGAGAACTTTGTTTACATTTCAGTAGTTGAATTATGCAGATTTATTTTAATCAGTGGAATCCCCCTTTCAGCAAGAAAAGGAATAAGGAAGTAAATATAAGTGGCTTAAATGTAACAGAATGAAAATGCATCAGAATTGTACTTAAAGGACTCATATTATGGAAAACCAAATTTTCCTCACTTTTTTTAAAATGTTGATGTCATATATAAACATTGAAGTTTCAAAATGTACCATTCACTGTCCAGTCTGTACAGCTCATATAAGGAAAGTAAGCTGCAACAGCCCATTTTGAGTTAGCTCTTTTTGTGATGTCATGAAAAACAACACATTTACACACATCCACATATTTAGCCTAGTTTAGCCCCATCATTCACACTGAAGTTATTAGGAGTGTTTCAGCCTAAACTGCCTTTTGAAAAATGTACAATACAGAGTAGCCAATCAGAACAGAGATCATTTATATATATCCTTTAATGGTTTGTTGAAAAATCGGAATTATTATGTTAACAAATTATGTTAGCGATTTCTGTTGTTTCTTTATATAAACATTTGTTAGTTTAGTATTTTTAACTGAAGATTTATGTTTATAGATATAAACAACAAAAATCATGAACATAATCAGGCCTCCTTATGTGAAGTTTTGTCCTTTTTTTATAACTCACAGAAAGTTGTAATGCGTCCTAAACCACATTGCCAAGTCTGCGCAGCTTTATTGAAGTCCTTGATATGGCTTGAGTGGGTTGAGAGAAGATTTGTGGGATGTATGGAAAAGATTTGGTTGTCTGTTTACTGTTTAGTGTTTCTTAGCAACATTAGCCTAGTAGCTCCAGCACTGAACTAAAAAAGCAAAATTTGGATGCCAGAAGTGTCTGAGTTCATTGACTCTGTACACTTAAAAAGACGGTTCTCCAAGGGTTCTTTAGTAAAGGCAGTGATTCTATTTAGAACCATGAGTTCTATATTGAACCATTTCATGCTTAAGTGGTTCTTTGCACGGTCAAATGGATCTTCAGATTGATGGAGAATGTGTTGTGTAACTTTCTGCATAGCACCAAAAATAGTTCTTCTATTGTTACGAGCTTGACATCATAACAATAGAAGAACCCTTTTTGGTGCTAGGTAGAACCATGTACAACACAGTCTCCATCAATCAAAGAGCCCTTGAAGACCCGTGTGTGTGGGGTAGTGGAAAATTCACATTCACATTCACATTTGGGTTTGGGCCATAAACAGCCTGTTTAATTCTGAGGAGTAAAGAGAAGTTGGACGGTGATCATGTAAAAATGAATTACGACCATTTTTGAGTGTGTAAACTTTGAGTGTACCTCAGGGAAAAATAAAACAGGAGAAATGTGTTGGATATGAGCTCTTTAAGCACACAGGACTGAGTAAATGTAAGTAGTTATTATCCACCTCTGCCCTCCTCTGCATTTTATAGGCTGTATTTACAGTATTTTCATGCCAGCTTATGTGCTAACTATCATGGCCCACCTTGCGGTGTGGCTCCGTGGGTAACACGGCCAGCAGGAAGCGCGCGTGTGTTACTTTGCTTTGGCCTCCCATTGGTCGCGGGTTTGTTGTGGGAAGCTTTTGATTGGCTGAGTGAAGCCGTCACACGGAATGTGCCGTTGGTGAGACGGGCAGGCAGGCAGGCGTGCACTCAACAGCTGAGTGAAACGGCAGCAGAGCTACACAACGCGCTTTAGGAGCAACGCTGCTGTATCTCGACTTGTTCCGGGGACAGAATAACACTGACATCGTTGGAGTGTTCAACGAATATTAACCCGGTTATTAAGGTAAGTTGTACACAGTTTTCGGCATTTGTTTAGGTCTTATTTCCTTTGCTTTCGTTTTGTCCAAAATAACCTGCCAGGATGGAGTGGATTGCAGTGACTGGCCGTGGGAAATCATTTTAGCTCTACTAAAACGTGAAAAAAATGGAAACATTTCGGGCTGATTCCGTGCTTACAATCAATGAACATCACTGCGTCAGCTCACCAAACATAAATCTGTCATCTTAAACTGCAGACATGACTTGTCAAATCTGTACTTTTTAACGCTGACACTGTAAAACTGCTCAGTATTCAAGTATATCCCATGTTCTGCGCGGTTTAGAGCGCCTCCATGGATGAGTTTAAAACCTCGTCGGTTTAAATTCTCGTCAGTGATCTGTGTGCTCAACACATTTGTTGAGACAACTTGGTGCAGTGCATTCCTTCTGCTCTCTCAGCTGCTCCTGTATTTCCTCAATCAGCTGAGGACCACCAAGACAGCCTGCTGACACTAACTCAGATTTTCCTGTATACCTCACCTACTGCACTCATCAACAATAGACGAAGTGAAACTGGCAGAAAGGGAAAGTCCCAGGTTTACATTCTGAGGCAGTCTCACTTTACGTACACTTGCCATGTACTGTGCTCGTGTTGAGCAAAATTAAGATTTGCTCTGAATTCAGGCCGTGCAATGGGCTCAATACATTGAACTGTGCTCTTCAGACAGTGTTTTTGTATGAAACACTCGGAGAGAGACATTAGCTCCAGTGTGGTTTCCTGTTAGCTAGTGACTGTGGTAACTTGGGCATTGTAACTTACTGCTACTGTCACTTTCTTGCCCAACTCTCAGCAAAGCTGGTTGTTGGTTATTGTGCAATTGCCTTCATAGGGTTGAACCAAAATACACAGACAGCCGAATTGGTGTTGGTTAATAGATTCGAACAGAAATACATATATGACTGAGTTTCTTTCCACAATGAGGATGCAAGAATGAATGTCTTATTATTGTATGTCTTATTAGGCATGAGGTGTGTTTGTTGCTAGCAGAGTTCTAAAACAAGAGTACTAAACAGTAAGAAATTAACATGCTGAAAAAAACAGCTAGTGTACTGTATTCAATGTTCAATGGCAGCTGCAAATGCTAAGCAATGACTCAGTAGCGGCTCAGAAGACACTACAAAACTGCAGTAACAGTTACATACCAGTACCGTGATGTGATATTCATTTCGTCTTATGTTACTTTGTGAAAATCGACATTTCATCAGTGGGTGAGCGCTGACAAGCCTGAGATACTTGAGATGGGCAAGAGTGATATAAGATATAATACACCTACATACATGCAAAGAGTTAAACAGAAAGCCTGGTATTGTTGCTTGGTCTTGACAGGTACTTGAGGGCCGGTGCTCCAATTTATGTTGTGCATGTTACTCTGGCCTAGATGGCAAAACACACCATATAGGCAAATGGAGCAAGATTTGGTTTAATGTGGTTATTAATAATTGTATTACTATCAGGGCCTTTGATGTAGGCACTTTTGCTGCAAGTTCTCTGTGACTAAAACATACTGGGGAAAATGTAACCATCACTACATCTGTTGTACACAGGCCTAATCGCTGCAGTAATCTCCAGAGTGAGATTTTCAGGTTTAAAGACCCTTCTGATGATGTATCTTGAAAGTGGGAAGTGGGTTTTTGAAAAGCTAAAACTGCTTTGAAGTGGATTTTTTTAGTTAACTGATGTATGCCGAAGGAACACAGATAGCTAGTGTTATTGCTGGGAAGCCAGATGTCTTCTTGCAGCTTCATATCATTACAATGGAGAGAATAGATTGCTCAAACTATAGAAATGGCTCACCAGATGAGTTGGACAACAAACTGAAAGCTAAAGTTAGCAGGGTAACCCGGTTGTCTAGACACTTTTTCTCAGTTTTACTTCTTTTTTTAATGAAAGGGTATAAAACCTGTCTCTATCATCCATTTTGTGTTGAATCGCTCGTTGAATCACATTTTACATTTTTAAGAGTTTTGTTTGTCAACTGAGGTAAATTACACTAATATTAGCTTGGTTGTGTTTAGTAGCCCATAGATCATTGCCAAGGCTAGTAGCCAGGATTGGTTGACACTACAGGGATTCCCAGTGGTTGTATGATGTATTTACATGACACATGAAGACTGTTTTAGTAAGAGAACACTGAAGAATGAAAATTTGCACAAAATCCCTCTGACGACTGTTTCTATTCTATTATTCGACTGGATTCAAAGTGATTTTTTTTCAAGAGTTACTCAGTAATGCATCGCATATTTTCATGAGTACTTATAGAAAATATGCTCCTGCACAGTTTCTCTTCCTCTTTCTTTTTTTTTTGTTGTATGCATGTTTCCTGCACTTTATTGCTAGAAACCAAGTCCACAAGCACATCCTAAAGGCACATCCCAATGTCAAACTGAGACACTGCTTAAATGAGCAGGCTGTATTTTCTTTGCAGCCTGTTTGCTCCTGAGGGGGCGTTTTGAGAATGGTTAGACCGAAGCCTCTTGGCAAACAGCTATTCATACATAATCATAGACTTGCTGTGAAATTGATGCGTGGTAAGCAATGTTGTGTCATAGATTGGTTGAACACAGAGCCTGCAAAGAGCCGTGCACAATAGCAACAAGTACAGCATGCAGCAGAGTAGCATTCAGAGTGGAAGGCAAGAGAAATGATGTGAAACTTCCCTGTCAGTACGATGGCTTAAGGATTCAAACAATGTTCACACATTTTGACTGGACTTTTCTATCACATATTAGTAGACTGGGTACCAGAAAAGAGTATTTTTTTCTATAATGAGCAATATTTGGTCATAAAAGTTCATTTTCACAGAAAAAATCCAAAACATAAGGAGTATCAAACCGATATTCAAGTTCACTTTTGCCTTATTCACTTTTGCCTTAATGCCCTTGAGCATTTAGTTAACAGCTTAAGCAGAATGTTTGTCCCAACTTTTACCTTTTTGCTTTGGGTGACCACTTTATTAATGCTTAAAGATGTTACAAGGAGTCAAGGTGCCATGCGCACTTAAGAAAGTCCAAATGATGTGCTCCCAGAGATAACCCACCCCCTCCCTCATGATAGGCAAAACTTTAAGCACGAATGAAGAACGCCTTTTATCCAGCTGTCTCTGTAGGACCGCCTCAGGTCACACTAATTATCTGCATATCAGTCAAAAAACATTTGCAATGATAAGCATACATGGCTTATCTTGACAAGTTCCTTGCTTGCCGAATTGCCTCCTGGGCTGCGGCCGCAATGGTAGACTGTGGTGATCTGGGTGCATTGCACATCTTGGGCAGCTGAGACTATAAGCCAGAACAGCCAAAAGCTTACCAGGCTTAGAGCTTCCACATGGTCGTGATCTGTGCATCTACACTTCCACATCCAGGCAGATGAGCTTGAAGCTGAGAGACATACCTGGGAAAAATACCAGACAGACCATGAAGATTTCCTCTAGGGATTCTCTCCAAGCTGCAGTGGCCAGGTTCTTCCATGGTCACCAGTATACCTGCTGCTGTGCTAGATCACACATATAAAAAGAAGGCGCTGTAGGCATCAGGAATAACCCTTGTATTTTTCCAGTTGGCAGGAATAGCAAATCAAGGAAGGTCTTACTGTAGGTCTGTCAGGCTAAGAAGCTAGAGAGGGAGGCATATCCTGATCTAAATAGGCTTGCCAGTTTAATATTGCATTCTTACTTCTCTTTGCTGAGCCCTGAGTGCTGTGTGCTCTTCAGTCAAAGTCTTTGAGAAATATCAGCATTCGAGCTTGGCCCTAGACCCAAGGTACTTCTTCACGTATAGATCAATCAGAACCTGCCACAGATCATCTGAACCAGAGCCTTAATAGTGCTGGGCACAACTGGCAATGGCCTGAATTGAATAAGGGACAAGTTACCTGTAGCTCCATTAGTGTGCTTAAGGATACTGACAGAAGCTCCACGAGGTTGAACAGATGAAGCAGCTAGTGCTACCATATTAGCTTTTAGGGTAGGGTTCGGGAGCCTGGCAGACCAGCACTGACTCTGCAAGGTGAAGAAGATGTGACAGCTACCACCATAGATGTGGTAAGGTATTTTGAGTTGGAGTCATGCCATGCAAGTGAGTCATGTCATGCAATTTTTAATTAAAATTTTTGGACAATTTACATCAAATAGAACATGCATGCTATAATGTGATGGAAGATGACAATATTCACATTTAACTGACACATGAACTATATTCAAATGAGCTGAGCGGCAGCCGGTCAGATTTTTTGGTAAATGGCATGTTGTCACGTCTATGGTGAAGCTAAATGCTTGAACACGCTCCAAGTGCAAGAAAACTATGTATTTAAAACACTGAACGTTGTTTTTTAAGTTGTTTTTATTATAGTTTATAAAACCATGTTAGGCCACTTTGGGGTTCATAACTAGGCTCCAACTGCATGTACTTTTACTCTAGACTGTGAGCTTCTTTTTTAGCACAACAAAAGCAGCCGAAGTTGCCACAGGATTCAATATAATGAATGTAGTGTTAAACAGGGTATGGTACACAGGTAAATGTAAAAATACAAACTCTATAACAACCATATAGGTCTTTTCTCTGCTCAAATTATTATTTTTGTATTTTAGCATTTACAATTAAACAATCTTGAAATCAGCCCCCTTGGCAGGCCCATGTCCCTGGATCCCAGAAGGGTACCAGTATGGTGCCAACACAGCCTGGTAGAATATATTTCTCCATCCTCACACATTGTATATTGCATGTATATTACTGACAGTGTCATACGTCATGTCACTGTGTGACTGGGTTTATTAGATAGAGAAGAGAGAGGGAGTACAAACAGTTTCGTGACTTACTTTCTGTTTCATGAAGTAGTCAATATCTAGTCATGCTCTTTGAGTAGTACCTTTTTGATTTTCCCTCTGTTCTTTAAATTTGCTTTGGTAATCAAGTGCAGTAGTGTCTGTAAATTGCGGACAGCTTTATTTCAGTGGTGAAGGGTCTTTG